GTGCAGAAAAAGCTACTCAAGGAAGGCCCCTGGAGAGCCACCATGAATCAGATGGCGTTGAGCTAGATCATGGAGGGCTAGATCATGCTAAGGGCTAGGTTCTATTTCAATGAAGCTTGAAGAAGGCAGAAGACAGAAAGTGTGCAATGAAAAGTACCAGCATATTGAAGCTTACAGCTCTTCAGACTGTAACTAAGCCTTAGGCAGGCCTTTCAGCCTTTTGGAGCAGTGATATAAAAGTTGGAACACCATCAAATTATCTGAGGTTGAAGAAAAGGAAGCATAGACAAGTTAGAATCTCAGCAGGCTGGACTGGAATTCTGGGCCTCAGGTTCTGCAGCCCTGGACTACATAGATGGATGGTCTTACTCAGAGTCAAGCTGCTTGATGTGTGATGGGAGGCTAGTTTGGAGAGGTGGAGAGATTTAGCAGGATCTGGCATGTTTCTACGCATCTCCTCCTGTTGGGGAAGAGCCACATGCTTTGCACGCATGCAAAAAGTCTCAGTCCATGGAGTCTCCAGGCAGAGCTGGGAACAACCCCTGCCTGAAACACTGGAGAGCTGCTCCCAACCCACATAAGCAATACTGAGTTAGATGGACCAGTTAGTTTGGTAGAAGACAGCTATCAATGCTGTCCGAAATGTGCCCTACTAGGTTTGGAGCACCAACCTGCAAAATTACCTTCTTAAGCCACAGCCTAGAATTCATCCCATTCACCTTTGTTGGTTTAGATGCTCTGCAACAGCCAAGCATTCGACCCATGAAAGAAAAACTGAAATAAGTGCATATCCCAGAAAAAATGGGAACACAGCAAAGGAAGAGTTTAAAGAGCACCATGTGTGCGTTCATAGCACATGAACATGCATGCAAGAGCATTAGTGCATTTGCATCCACGAATGGGGAAAAGAATTATGGCTGTGTTGGACTGATTATATGTCATTTGCTGGTTGGCTGAAAATAGCAATATATGTTCACACAGTGCTGAAAGATACAGTTTGGCTACCCAAAGATAGGAAATATGTAAATCTTCCATTGGCTCAGAGCAAAGACAAGCCCCTCTGGTGGAATTCTGGCAATGAATGGCAGACACATCCTTCCAAGAGATAATCAGCCATGAAAGAGCACTTGACAACTTGAGTCTAACCAACTCCAGCAGCAGCAAAACAGAGGCCTGCAAGCAATCACTTTCGAAAGGCCATCTGCAGTGCTCTGGATGCCTGCAAAAGAGGCAGCTGAGGAATGGAGCACCGAGGGATGCGTCCCAAGGTGCCACAAGACATGAAACAAGACACAACACCTTCTGCTGAGCTGGAACAAGCTGCTCTGCCACAGCCCTTTATCTCCAGGTAGTTTCCTGAGAGGCCGGAGTGGCGTTCCTAAGGGGCTGTTGCCACATCCTTGGCAGTCCGAGATGAGAGGTGCTGTGGTTTGTCTATTATTGTCAGCATTGCCAGCTGACTTGGGTCCAGCTCCTGTGCGTATGCAGACAGTCTTAATTCCAGGATATTTGGGGGGGGGGAGGTTGGAAAGGGTCCTCAGTGCCTCCCCCCCCCCAAACTTGGAAAACATGGAACATGAAAACCAAATAAACTTTCACAATAATGTGGCTTTTCTTTCGCCACACAGGCATAAGTGGAGTGGTTCAGTTCCGCTCCAAATTGTTTTGGCAGATCGCAGAAAGAATTTATACTGAATCGGCTCCACCTAAACTCCAGACTGGAAACTCATCAATGGGAGCAGAGGGAGGGGGTTGCCTGAGGGATGCTTCAAGAATGTGATCTTTGTGAATTCCAGTATGATCTGACCTGAAGTGCACTTCCTTATGTGGATCAAAACATAATCAATCATCTTTTGGATTTTGCACTTCTTCAAATGCTGCTACACATTTCTTAGTTTTAAAAAACCACATCAAAATGCATTTGAAATGTGTAGTTTTGAGCAAAAACATGGTCTTGATAATGCACGGTTCAGAGAAAAGGAATTTAGTTTTAAGTATTATGTAAAACTTTCATGGGGATTTAAAAAAAAAGATTAATGCGGCAAAGGTGCAGAATGGACCAATGAACAAATACATTAATTAGTAGTAGCAGTACTGTATGAAAGTTATATTCCATTTAATTTAATAAAATCTCTATGCAATTCACAAGCAAATGCATTTTTGCAATATAAAAATAACCAATTACAGAAAAAGTATGACATATTGCATAACGGAAAACAATTACAGCAAAGGCAAGAAAACAGGAAAGTGGCATCATGAAAGCAACTGGCAACATTTAGTATTTGTAAAGCACCCGGAGAGCCCATGGGTTATAGGGCGATATATAAATGTAATAAAAATAAATAAAAAAGAGCACCACTGATCTCTCCATCCCCCGCTTATGGCTTTCTCAGCCTTCTGATTTCCACTGTTCAGCACACGCACACACAAGCCACAGGGTTCCCAACACATGTTTGCAGCAGTAAATACATGGGGAGAAAAATGTTTGGCAAGGAAAATGGGCAGGTAGGCCAAGGTTTAGAAACACTCTTTCTCTGACCTCGCTTTCCCCTTCCCCGCATGACTCTCTTGCATTACAGAACAAAAAACGGGTTTGGGTTGCAGATAACAAGAACTAGATTCTAGTTTAACTTGTTACCCTCTGAATGTTTTAACCTGTGAGCCCCTCTGGCTCTAGCCTTCATAGCCAATGGTGAGGGGATCCATAGACAAAAAACACTGGGGGCTCCCAGAGACCCATCTCTGCACTGAAGCATTCACTCCACGATGCGTGGTTCCCTCAGATCTTCCCAGGTCCCTCATGTCTTAAGAAGTTCCAACCACTCACCCAAAACATGGAGCTCGATATAGAAGTAAGCCACCCTGATCTCCCCATCTTCCTCGTACAGTGCCTGGCACATGAAGCGCCCCTCTGCTGCCCTTCGGAGCTTCTCTATCAGCAGCGTGCTGTTCTTGAGAGTCACATCTCCAAGGACGGTAGAGGCCTTCTCCACCTTGGACTCTATGCCATTGCTGATGGCAACGGCTCTGGGCACGAGTGAGCCTTGCTTGGTGAAGCTCCAGAAGACAACCATGGGGAAGACCACATCACCGCAGGTCAGCAGCACCGACTGATCACGCACACCTTTGACCACGTGCTCCTCATATTGTGCATCTTCCAAAGGGAGCAGCTGTCCTGGGGGTGGGAAGGAAAAAGCCAAGCGCTGAAGTTTCCCAAGGCTCCCCTTGCAAATTGGATGAAGGGCAGAATTTGAACGGTTCTTGCATATCTCTCAAGGTCTCGTTCCCCTCCAGCTCATGTGAACGTGACTGCGAGTCCATAAAACACTCTGGACATGCTCTCTTCTCCCCAGTCAGCCTTAACTTCTACCCTACAGTTGTGATTTAGGGAATTCTGTTGCTGCAAATTAAACTGTTGAGCGCTCATTGGAACACCCTCACCGAATCCGAGCAGGTCTGGAATCCAGGGTTGTAAACTGATGCCACAGTGCCTGTTCTTTAGGTGCGAGCGGTGTGTGCAAGCAAAAAGGAATCATCCTCTGATCTCTTATCCACAGTTCAAATGAAGCTCAGCAGCATGATGGATGCAGTACGTGAGGCGCCGCTTTATTCCAGAACCTTAGCCAGGTGCCTTGGCCATGGAACCTCCATGGCTCCCCTTAACTGGAGACGGGTAGGACAGCACCTGGCTTGCAAGAAATCACTGCCAGTGTCTGTCCAATGAAGACAGCTTAGGAAAAGCTACTTGGCCACCCTTCCCTAGCCTGGTGCTCTCTGGATGTTTTGGACTTCGGCTCTCATTGGCCCCATCCAGCCAGGCCAATGGTCAGGAATCCTGGGAGCTCTGGTTCAGGCCATAACCAGGATGGAAGAGCTAGGCCCCCTGAGAGACATGAGCAACTGGTACACTATCCGAACACTGTGCAGGATCACACCAAAGGCCCATCGAGTCTTACCCTTTTGTTCCTAGAGTGGCCCTCCAGAAGCACATGGAAAACTCACAAGGAGGACATGATCCCCCTTCTGCTCATCTTCTCCATCAACTGATATGTGGGTTGACTGCTGGTGGCAGCATCCAGCCCTCAAGACCAGGAGCTGCTGTTAGCTTTCCCCTCCACGGATTTGACTAATTCCTTTCTAAAGCCACCCAAGTGGCCATCATTACATCTTATTGCAGCTAACTCCATAATTTAACTCTGATTATCTGTAACCACATGCTTGGTGAAGAAGGTCTTCCGTTTGTCTGTCCTGAAGCTCCTACTGTTCAGCTTCAAGAGAAGGGAAAAAATCCCTATCAACTTTCTCCTCACCAGTATATAGTGCATTGTAAACAGCACATTGCCCTTACTTTACACACACACACACACACACACACACACACACACACACACACTGTTTTGCTCAACGGCTGGCCTAGCAAGATTGGGCTTGCATATTACTCACCATAAGCCACGGTTGGGAGGATGTAGATGATTTTCAGCAGGGTCCTAAATGGTAGATTCCTTGCCAATCCATAATCCATTGCTCCATGTCATGGCATGAGAAAGGAGCCAGAAGCCAGATGCTGTTAGCTCCTTCCAACCAAGCACATCTCTAGCCTGTGTGGAAGAGCTTGCAGCCCTGATAAAACCCTTTTCCACTTCCTGCCTATTCCGCAGACTTCTCTAACCTCTGTGACATGGAAGGCAGGCCTCTCCATCTCTTCTTTCAGTCACTCATCCATCAAAATGCAGCCCTCGTCAGTCTCCGGTTACACCAAATCACCCCCAATTAATCTTCAATTATTCATTCCTTCTCCTTAAACTCATTTCCTTGATCTATTATGCAGGAGCTTCTTTAGAGAAAGGGCAGAAATAGGAGTCAACTTTCTTTGGTTTTTGCATCTTGGACGTGGTGGTTTCTCTGGTGGAAGATAAGGATCAGGTCTAATAAATTCTCCATAGGAAAATCTAAGTCATGGCGGTTCACAACAAGGAGACCCATCTCTTTGAATAGTGTTTTCACCAGCAGAAGCATGGCTGCTTGTGTTCAGGCACACTCAGGGCTGAAGCCAACCAGAGCCTAAGCAGGTGGCTGAGTGAACCTTCCTGGAATAATGATGCACCCCATGAAGCTTCCCCCCCCCCCGCTACTCTTAGGGCCTTTCATCTTCTAACAACCCCATATTCAGCCCTCAAAAAGTCCCCCATTGCTAGAACACAGCGTATGAAAAACGTTGGTGTAGAGGAGGAACTGTCACAGGGGATGCTGGCCCAGCTCTTTTTGATTAGCAGGGGCACCCACATCATCTGCCACCCTTCAGAAGTTCCTGTTTCTTCGCTGGTGGAATGAATTTTCCCAGCAGCCAAATATATTGCTCTCATTTGTAATGCAAAGCATTTGGTCTGGAACGATCAGTTAAGATCTCTTGGCATCACAAAAGCTCTGTGCTTGGTGAAGAGGAGAACAGCTAGAACTAATTAGTTGATCAAAATCAACACTGCTACCTGAATTTTCACACACACACACCCCTGGCTGTGGCCATTGCCCATGATGCACTCCAAAATTTGCAACTACATCACTTGGCAGAACACAGATTAAGTTCTAGTGGCAGAAATTTGTGTGATTTGCTGTAGTTTTACAAGATTCCTGACTCCCAATTGCTGAATTTTATCAACAGAAAAAGACTCCCCCACCCAGCGCCTTAATGAAGAGTGCTTCAGATAACCCTAAACAGATATTGGTGCAGAAGGACTGTGAACAAAAAAGAGATTTCTGGGCTCAGAATTATTTGATTAGAAGCATCTGGTAGGTTTCGGATTTCTAATAAAATCAGTATATTTTAATATATTTTTAAAAAACAAACAAAAAGAAAGCCAAGCAGGGTTATTGGGTTGGACCAGGCTCAGGAAATCCAGTGTCTAATCCACGCTCAGCTATGAAGCTCAGTGGGTGCTTTTGGGACAGCCACTGACTCAGCCGTGGAGCCGCTGTTGTGATAGCAACAGAGAGAAGGATTCTGTAGGCTGCCTTGGGTTCCCTGCAAGAGGGAAAAATATAATGAATGAATATACTTGCCTCACCCACTTTGCCTTTAGCCCCATCCTGCATTGGAATGCAGCCCACAACATTTGCCCCAAGATAGGGCTCAGCCTCTGGGCTGAAAGATGCCTTGCACCACCTGGAGTAAACCCAGCACAGCACCTTCCATTCAATGCCATTGGAATGGAGCAAAACCCACTCCAGTCCAAGCATAACACCCCCCCACCACCATCACTCATTTTGGGATACTGCACGTGGGCAATTTGTACTTCCTGGGGTCTCCAGGATGCCTGATGGCTCTTTTCTTAGAATGCACATATAATGGCATCCTTATGTGTCCATGATCACACACGTGGCGTTGCTGCAAATCATAGCACACCAACAGAAGGAGGTTCTCTTGATTATGGATAGCTGAGGTTCCTGGGAAAGATTTCTTCCTAGTCAGCTACTGAAATAAGATCCCATGCTTTTGTTGAGCATAGAAACCGTGGGTCTGTCATCCCCATCAGAGTGGTGTGTTATTTATTCATTACAGAGGTGATCGGTGCTTTTAGTTTTCATCGAGGCTTTTACTGGGATGAAGAACACAGTCACCTTCCCCCACTGAGTGGTCCTCAAGATCAGCACATATGTCAACTGCAGGCACCATCCGGGTTGCCAAGGTCTTCATTTGCAACCGGATGGCTGGCTGGCTGGCTTTGGGCAGGCTCCAGCAGCGTTCTCCAAAGCTTTTGATCACTGCACGGGTGTCAGATTCATCAGCACCACATGCCAGAAATATAAGCCATTGCCCAGGGAGACGGTCAGTAGCAGATATGTGGATGCCCAAGGAACCCCAGGCAGATAACCTCCAACATCACTCTGGCTGGGAATCTGACACAGCTGTGTTTTCCCATGCAATGGCCACAGTTTGCTGGGCAGCCAATAACAGACACTCTCAGGAGTAACACCCCTTCTCCCTTGGCCTTGAAAGGAAACGTCTTTAAAAAGTTCACTGCTTTACTAGTCAAATCCAGTGAAAGCATCAGCCACAATGGGGTCCCAGGGTATGAGCTGAAGGCACATAAAGCAGCCCACTTGGTCCAGTCTAGGTCTGGTCCATGCTTGGGGAGGAGACATCTGGAAATCCGGTGTAGCTCAGCACTTATCCTCTCTCCGCAGCCTGGGCTTCATCGTCGTCGTCATCATCATCTCCTCCCACCTTTTTCCTTCAAGAAACTAAAAGTGGCTTTCATAGTCTTCCTCCCTCCCTCCCTCCCTCCCTCCCTCCCTCCCTCCCTCCCGCAGCCTTCCGTGGCCTTAGTATTTCATTCTCCTCTCATTTTTTCAGCCCCGTATCCCGTCCATGTGAACATGCTGCTGAAATACCAACCACAGGCGGAGATGGCAATGAGGACAGCGCAAGGCGGAGGTTAGAGACTTGGACCAAGGAGTCCCAACTGGGGCTACTGCTCCGGCGTGGAACTCATCGCCCGTCACACGTTCCTGGCCTGCATTTCTGTTCACATCGACCCAGGAGTTCCATGCCTGGTGGATGTGTGCCGACACCACTGTTAGTGTAACCCACCTCTCAGAGAGTTTGTGCTGTTAAGGAGGGTGCAGCTGGGCCGTTCAGGCTCTGGATTTCATAGGCGTCCTTGGGGTGGCAGCTTTCTTTTGAGCAGGTATGCCGAGCCTCTTTCAGCCTGAAGGCCAAATTCTCTTTCAGGGGAAGGTGCAGGGGCTGCAAGCCAGTGGCGGGTGGGACTAAAAGGGAAAGGGCCAGGGCCACAAATGCCCACACATTGTGCCCCAGAACCCCGACTGTTCCTTACTAAGCCTTTAGCAAGGCATCTTGGCCTTTTAGAATGGGGGAAGAGATCTGTGCAAAAGCCACCAACCTTCCACTGCTCAGCAGCTGGGGATATGGGGGTGAGCCCAGTGGAGGGCGGCGTGGCTATCTAGGGTACCCTGCAGGGCTGGATTGGGGGTCAAGTTGGGCCATGGGGGCAGAAAGCCATTAAGTCCAGAGCCTCAGACCAATTAACTGCATGACTTCTCTAATATGCTCAGATGTGAAAGGACTCTTTGAGACCAAGCCAATGTGCCACTTTCCAAGGAAAGCGTATGACAGACATGGCCATCTATGTGGGCCTGGTCTGTTCAGAGCATTTAATTCGCACTGGCTACCCAAGACAGAGGCAAGAGTGTTGTGGTGGAAATTTCCAGCACTTGTCTTTCTGAGGCTGGGGCACGAGGACTGTTTACCTTGGACAAGCACTGCAGGTCACTGTCACTCTGAGCTAATTTAAACTTGCCCGGCTGGAGTCTGGGGTGACTTAACCTGTTTTGATGGCCCTCCCATTCCATTAACTTGCTTCTTCTTACTCACTGATCTGCCTCCAGAAGTCCTGCAACCCACCCAGCCTTTCAGTCATGCCTGTAATTTTCCTCGCATTGCTTCCAGAACACTTTCCCTCAGTCATCTTCTTTTGCACCAAAGGGAGAAAGTCAGGGCAGCTTTTTCCTCCTTCCCCTCCCCGTTTTAAGTGTCACTTGGGAACTCTTGTCAGCTTTCCAAAATGCATATATTTTTGGGAATTCAGTCAGGAAATTGTGAAATAAGATTTATTTATTCGTTTTAAAGCAGACTTGGTCACAAGCTCAAGAAAACATCAGCCCCCTCTGTGATAAACATCGATTGTCCAATAAGCTGCTCCAAATGCTATTACAAAATACTCCCCTCTTAGGAGGACAATTTGTGTGTGTGAGTTGAGGGGCAGGGATCATAGCAAAAAGCAAACCTGTGCAGTCTCTCTCCCTCTCACACACATGCACAGAGAAAGACAGCGTGGCTTGTGAAAACACAGCTTCTATGTTGTGGCAGGTACATGGCATAAGATTACCTCATAGGGTGCTCATTCAGCTCAGCGGCCTTTAGGCACGCATGTCATATCCTGTTTGCAGGCCAGAGCCTCCCCGAACACATCAAAACTTGGCCCTCGCTTTACGATGAGACAAGCTGAGGCAGCTTTCATGAGTGACAGATTTGGCAGCTGCGAAGGAGAGCCGAGCACACAAAACAAACAGCATTGCTCGCATCTGTGTTGTAGGCTTCACCAAGATGCCCTCTTGGGTGGCATTGCTGGCCTGCATGGGAATGGCGAGCATCTTTACACAGATCCCATTCCTGTATCCTTCAGTCACTACCGACGTATCTAGAGCCTGCAAAGGAAATTCAGTAAGGACCAAACTAGGCAGGACTTTATTTGCACGGTTAGGAACCACAACTGGGAATTAGAGGGGGGGGGGGTAGCAGCACCAGGGAGGGGGTTAGCCCTTCCCTACCCAGGCATGTTCATGGCAATTAGTGGGGTTTTATAAACGGTCTCACTGGCATTAATAGGAGTTTCCCTCACCTTCATGAATGCATTTCTTATTACATCCTTATCTTGCCTTTTCTCCTCTTGCAAGAAACCAAGGCAGATCACACAGTCACCCTATTTTCTATTTTATCCTCAC